TTTCCTTACAGATCACCAATGCCTTTCAGACAATTCACATAATAAGTTCTCCCTTCCTATGCCAATCTAGACAGCAGATTATTTATTTCACATAGGAAGACTGCCTATGGCAATATAAATTTAAATATGATTTTTAGTGTAAGTTAAATTGTATAGCTCTGTTTCAAATTTTGACAGTTTTGAATCAAACTTGTGAAACCTAATTTATAAAAAAAAATTGTACAGTCAATATCAGAACATGAATATATTATTTTTTGTACATCTAGTATAATATCAGTAGTTTAATACTTACATTCATGATATCTGGGTCAATATAATCAGCTATGTTATGACCTTCCCAAATCTCAGGTATTATATCATATTTTTCAGATGGATTAATTAGATCCCAGTGTTCTAAAATGGGAAGAAAATGAAGAATTTTTATTACTTTATGCGATTCAAAAAGTCCTGCAATTTTATTCAGGCGATAGCCTTATTAATAAGAAAAACACATTCTAAAGTAATAAATTACATGCTGGTAGCAAGTTACACATTATTGAGCTGTTAAACTTGTTTGTTTCCACTGGCAACATTCCTTAAACTCTGAAGTATATCAAAACATTAGATAAAAGGATAGATTTGAAATGTATGCTTGAAATATATATGGTCTAAAATGGCCACAGAACAGAATTCTCCATTAGTTAGGCGTGATTCCCAACTATAAGCTGGTACCATTCTTAACAGAAAATGAGAAGGGGAACATATCTTACCAATACAAGGGAAAAAATACAGACATAGTAATTTTGAGGTTTATCATAAGATGTGGGGGTTTTTGTTGTTTTATTTGTTTTTGATTTAGCTGTTTTCAAAAAAGAATAATCTGACAGAGCAACCTGGTATGTGCCAGGATGTAAGACTACAGCCTGAATTCAGTTGCATTTCTAAACAGGAAGAGAGCCTTGATACTTACTCTTAAGATCTAATACATAGTCATCTCCCATTTCCATTTCCAGGTCTTTCTCCTGCAGCAAAGATACATCATTAGTAAGAGTTTCTTATAAACCTCACAAAATTATTCCTTTTATGCCCCTAAAATGTGGAAATCTTCCATAAGACACTTACCAATTTCTTTTTGGGGCCATCAACTTCCATGTGCTTTCTGCGCATCAAGGCTCCCTCCGGAATAAAAGGGGGCCTTTCCTAAGAGACAGGAATGAAACTCAACATGAATTGAAGAAGTCTCTTTCTAGATACATTGGATTATTGGGGAGAAGAGCAGCAGCATCCTTTTTTTTCCAAGGAATAAAGGTCACAAGCTGACAGATCTTCACTGCTTTTTTTTTCCACTCCAAAACACACCCATCCATCCTAGTGCTTTTCAGATGTATTTAACCTGAAACTCTGGCAGAAAATTCTGCCAGTTGTGGTCTGAATATATCTGGAGGGCACCAACTTAGGAAAGCTGATGAGCACATATGTTCATAACAGAAACAATGAGCTACAAACACACACACACCTTGTTGTCCCTTTTTGTTGGAAGAGCTAAATGTAGCCTGTTAAGTACATCATTCACTTTATTTCCTTTCATTTTGGTATCAACACGATGGGCCAGCAATCTGTCACAAGCCTGAAAATATAAAAAAATATTAATTCAAGAAATATTGAACTTAGGCAAAGTATTAACACTGATCCAGACATACAACCCCATGCTTATCACTGAAAAAAATAACAAAGGTGAAAAACTGCATGATATAGAGAAGTTTGGGCCCGGGGAGTTATTAATTACCTTCTCAATAAACTAGGAAATGCTGTATCTGTTCCAAACACGTTGAAGAGTGTGTGAAAGAAAGAATATTTATATAAGAAGTACATGGATTTAAAAGGAAAGCTAACAATATTAGTAATTCACTCTTACACATGCAGCAAGAATTTGCTCCCTCTTAACGCTGATTTCCTTACACCACTGGAGGAAATAATACTCATTTGACAACATGAAGTTAACACAATTGACCCTGAATGATCATAAAGGAAAAACTGACTAACAGCTAAGGAACAAGTCAGAATCTTTAACCTTATTTTAAAATTGGTAAACATTGTTTAGCAGATCAAGTTAAAAGAGGAAACTCTGGTTACTCCTACTGAGCTTCATTGAAATGTTCTGCAAAGGAAGAGAAAGAGATGTGACACAGGCAGGAATCAGAAGAACATCTGAGTCAGGTAAGCAAAATGTAAAGCAGCCAAGAGAACGATCCAAATAATATAGTGACATATTTATTTCTCTGACCTTATCCCTTGTAGGAGCAGAAACTATTTCATACCATGGAGTCCAGATAGCACAAGATGACAGTACAAGATTGGATATGGGCCAGCAGCATGGTAGACAGCAACAACTGTAGTTTAGGCTGCACCCCCAGAAGTATAATTTCCAAATCATAGTAAGTAACTGTTCCACTTCGTAATCAGACCCAGCTCAAACAGTGCATTCACACACGGTGAAAAGGATTCAGGGACATTAGAACAGGCTCAAATGAGACAACAATCATCTTTTAGGGGACTAAAAATAGAGTCCTACAAAGAGTAACTGAAGACGATAGGTGTGTTTAGCCTTGAGAAAAAGTCAGAAGAGATCACCTACAAGAGCAAGAATGCAAGGCACTGAGCAATGGATTTAAGTTACAGGAAGGCATCTGCATGTTAGAAAAACATCTGTCTGGGATGCTTTGGATTTCTGCATTGAGCAAGGTGCTGGACTTGATGGCCTAAATGGTTCCTTACAATATCACATGATTCTATGATAAGACCATCTCAGACTGGGAAGAATTTCTCAACTTCAGGAAGTATAATTTAGAGCCTGACCAGGACAAAATATCCTTAAGACAAGAGGCTGAAAAAGGATGCGATAACCTGTTCTCTTGCAACAGCCAAAACACAAAGGCAAAGCTGCCTTCTAATGAGCAGGTAGAGAAAAATATTTTCCCCACACTGGAGGCTGATGGTGAGTTGCTACAAGCAACTTACAGTGTGATGACAAGCAGAAGGTATCTAGTAAAAAAAAAAATCCTTTTTTTGTTTTTACAATGATTCAAGAAAGCCTTATGTTGAACCATCCATGTCATACAAGCTCATTAAAAAAAAGAACAATATAATGGCCCAAAGCATAAGCAGAAGAGAAAATTGCCATTAGCATCTGTTGCAAACATCTGAACGAGAGACGGCAAGAATTGTGCAGTATCTAATTAGGAGGAAGGTTCTATGACAGCGCAAAGATCAAGTAAGAATTTATTTTCATTTTTCTAATGCAATATTTTAAAGCAAGCTACAAAACAGCTCTTGGATAAGCAGAAGACAATTTCTCCATAAAGTAGGGCTAGCCACTGGATTGAAACCAATGCAGATATTTAGTATACACACATTCACTCACTTCAGTTTTAACCTGAATAACACCTTCTTCTGTCATAGTGCTTGTCTCAATCACAGGAAGTCCATCAGCTTCTAATTCAGCAAATATTTTCTGAAAGATGATGGATAAACAAAATATTTGTCATATTGGCAAAATTAATTACACAGACACACACATTTAAGGGATCTAAATAATACAAGATCTATCAGCATGAAACATAATATAAAGATTGCACTGGAATACAGACCAACCTCAAAGTTGCAAACATTAATCTGTATACAAGTTCTGTTGTGTGTGTGTGTGTGTGTGTGTATATTTCTTTGCATGTCAGTTTGATCAACAGCATTTCCACGATAGAGAAAAACGTTGAATTTTGGTACGCACAATTGAAAACCAACTGATTATTAGAGAAGGTTCAGAATGGGTGTTATTATTTCATATTCTACTAAAATTATAAAATATGAATCTTTCCGTATGCGGGTAGATTTCAGGCTTGCAAGATACACTCTGCTCATCAGCAGAGAAAAGGTGCTGAATGGCAGGGAACTGGAAGAAAAAGACAATCAACTATCACCAGAACTGAACATGGAAAGTAAAAAAAAAGTTGCAATGAGGGATTTGCCTGGCTAGAGCAACAGAAATAGAAATTATTATTGAGTGATCGATGCTTAGATTGCAATAGTAATTGGGAATGCAAATGGTATTTGCCATTTCTTAAAATGTACTATAGAAGGATGCCTCAAGAGTCCACAGCATGGCAGACCTGAGATCTTGTGTGAGTCCTGAGAGATTTGGGAGTGAGGCACTGAAGCCACCACCACAAAAAAAAAAAAAGAAAGAAAGAAAAGCAACAGAACCCAAAGTCAAAAAAATGGTAGCCAACTTCTAGGACAGTTTCCCTGATGTGTGCATGCATTCGTGTGTGTTAGTCATCATTTCTGAAAACTACTTACCTGATTCTCTTCTGTAAGTTCAGAAATCCTCTTCACGTCGCATTTATTGGCTACAATTATTAGAGGCTAAAATTAAGACAGAGAAAGAGAACCACACATTGAATGAACCAGCTTAGGTTTTATAACAAAGAACATGAAGTTGGTCAAGTGGTAAAATCCCAAGCACCTTGTTGGCAAACAATGGCTTAATATTCTCAAAAAGTGCCAGCTGTTCTTCCAAGCTATGGCCACACTGTTCTGATATATCCATGACATACAGCACAGCAGCCCGGAGATGGGCAAGTGCGGTTATGGCCTGCATCTCAATGGTGTTTCTCTCTTCCAGAGGATGATCCAAAATACCAGGAGTATCTATGACCTAGAATAAAGACAGACCAAAATCAAGAGGGCTGGTCTCCTATAACCCAACAAACAACAAGAGCAAGGTAAAGTAAGGACCCTCATCTGAGAAACCATTTCAAATGAAGGTGGGACATTGACAATGTGGTTGTCCATACAAATACAAATACTGCAATCCTACTTTCTGATTAAAAAAATGGAGAAGAAAATGCTAAAACGAAATTACAGAAGGATCCAAAAGAATCAAGGCTGAATTCTTCTTTCTTCTTACCTAGCTAAGTCACTATTAGAAAGATTGTTTTTCTGGTTGCAGAAGATTAAGCTGTTTGGTAATAAATCATGAAAGGCCATGTAGGTATAATAATTGAGTAAATGCATTATTATTAGGAAGCACTCAGACTCAACACTCCTCTGAAGACTCAGTACACTAAGTGTCCACCCACTTCCAGTAATGGCATACAGTTTAATAATTTCTCCACAACCCTCAAGCTTTGAAACTACACAACCATCCACACCTCTCTGTCTCATATCGCTCATATTGGCTTTTGGGTGGCTGACCTAGAGGAACAGAAGATGACTTCAGAAGTGGTCAGGGGATGTGCATAACCCAGACACTGAACTGTAGACACACTAACAAGGTAAGCCGAGCAACTAGACAGTGAAAATACAGGACAACCCACATAAAAAGGAAACATTCCTGTGTGAAAGCAGCACTGGGATAAAGCCTGAAGGTGGAAGGAATAGCCCATTCTGTAACTCATCTAGGCAACCGACTGCCGTCCAAACGATCTGTTCTACAGTTCTTACAACCCCTTGCCTTTGCCTATGCTGGCTTGAAATGATAGGAGTTGGCGGTCAAAAACATCAGAATGGCACTAAATATGCTAACTGGGCTCCCAAAGTGAAGGATTTTACTAATACTGTAAAAAACAAGGTGTGCAAGCAAAAGTTCTCCAGAGCAAATTACAACTTACTGCAGCAGCTAACATAGATAATACTATTAATAACAGCAATACATGAAAATTAATAACAAGTAAACGGTAAAAATAAAGCCTAAGCCAAAATCCCAAAACTTGAGTTTTCAAAATGCTGCAGACAAAAAAAACGATATTACCTAAAATAGGAATAATTAACTGATTTAACCAAGAGATGAATTTTACCTGCCAACGCAAATACTTGTAATCCATGTGTCCTACAAACAGAGATTTTGTGGTAAATGCATATGGCTGAACATCTACATCAGCTCTTGTTACCTAAAAGAGAAAAGGGCATCATTTATGAAACAATTCTTTCTCTGAATTCCAAGCATCAGTTAGAATCCTGGCCAATACACGTGAGAAATGTTTCTAAGCCGGGGTGACACAGAATAAAAATACTTTTTTCGGAAGCCAGGAAAATGGAGATCTACCTTCTTATAAACGTATAAGATTATGTCTTATAAAAAGTAAGATGTACAACTATTATTAATAGTTCAAACATGTATTTTCTCACAGTTTAGGACACAATATACCAACAGGACCATTCTCAATTTAACTAAACCTGCTATTCGAAATACAGTGCTAAGAAATTAGTCACATTTATCCAGTGCTTATTATTACACTCTAACTTAGTGTGGTTCTGATGCAAGGCAAATCCACAAACCTTATTTATGAAACTTGATTTCCCAACATTGGGGTACCCACACAACAGGAGAGTTCGTGTATTAGGATCAATGGTTGGCAGTCGAGATAAATGCTGTCGCACTGAAATGTTTAAAAAGGACATAAAAGTATTGTTTACATACATGCTATTGTAGTTTGACTCTAGTTTAGCATATTGTATGAATTCAGCCATTATAGTATTAAATCATTCACTCATTCATTATGGCATTAAACCATGCTTTAACAGCATAGCATGTTAGGTTAACCTGTCCGAATGCATTTGGCTGTCCCATTTTTACATTTGGCATACCTTGTTCTAAATATTCCAGACTCTGCTTCTGTCTTTTGATTATTGTACACATCCGTCCCAAGGCTGCACGCTTCAACTGTTTGCATCGATAGAGGGAATCCCCATATTTCATCAGGCGCACATAATCTTTGGCAACACTAGGTTACAAAACCAGAAGTCAAATCTACATTCTATTAGCTAGGAGAATGCTTAACTTCGTTACCATTTCATTTTACCTGAGAGCATACTTTGGGGGGGGGGGAGCAAGGAATGACAGCTAGAACAGAATATTAAAATTCAGTTCATATGTCACAGTAAATCATAATATAGTTTGACTTCGATTTCATTTTTTTTCTAAGCTCAAACTCTCTAGCTTGTAAACAAGGGCTATGGGTTAGCACATTCTGTGAACCTACCAACTGCACTTTACTCAACAAGTCATAATTCAACAAATCATTATTTAGCATGATGCGTGTTAGGACTGCAACCAGAGAGACCCAAGTTCCTATCTCAACTACAGAATTTACTGAGTGACTTCAGGCCAGTCTCTCCCTCCCTCCCAGCCCTGTCGCCTCACACAGCTATTGCTATAAAAATAAACTGATGGGGGAGTCCTCTACATGTATCAGGTGAGCTTCCGGAAGTAAGACAGGATATAAATATAATAACTAATAAATATATATATAGAGAGAGTGAAATTCTCTTACTTATCGATCAGATTTTTGGCAATATTTATTTGCCCCAAGGCCAGCTTATAATGATCTTTGTCGTAAAGTATATTCATCAAATCTGCATAAAATGGATGAATATCCTGAAACCCACAAAAATATAGAAATCAATAATATAATTGATAAATAATTTATCAATAAAACATACACATTTCCAAGTGACTTAACTTTTAATTAGGGTATATATGTATTAAAATGTTTTAATATGGCACTCTAATCTATAGAGATTTAGAGTAAAACCCTCTCCAAGATTAAAAACAACATCAAAAAAATAACAAAAGGAAGCAACAAATTACAATTACAATCAACTTTGTGCCAAAGGAATAAACAAACATTCATACATACTGTAACAGGCTCCCTTTTTATACCAATTCCCCACCCTAAGACCACTGGAATAGCCAGGTTTGATGGCTTTCAGCTGGCACTCAAAAAGCTGCAAAACTAATTCTATGAACCCAAGGAGAATTTGGTCCCTGATCATGAAATTAGGGAAAGCACAAAAAGCAATTTATGATATGGCGTGGGTAGCAGCTGTTTGAGAAAAGTGGATCAATCAGTCCAGACACATTTCAAGCATGACAAATTAATTCATTACTATTTATTTTGCCAGAGCAGTGCAAGTAAAGTATGGTTATATTTTCACAGATTACCAGAATCCAACTACTGCTGGTCCTTTGTAAGTACAATGAAAACTTAATAATAGTATCTATAGAGTACTTTAACATTTTCATTAAAAAAAACAAAATTATCAACATCTATTAAATTTACTGAACTGTTTACAGTCATTTTACCCCCCCCCCAACATAACGTTTAAGATTCCAAGGTGTATTGACAGCAATACAGAAATGTTTTAGCACTGCCTTAGTCCCCACTTCTCCTAAAATACACAAGCTTTCTCCAAGAAACCAGATATAATTTACATGTATGTAATGAACACATTTTTCAGTTGAAAAATCACTTACATCAAGCTTTGGGAAATCCATAATAATTTGAGTGAGCCTGTCATGATAATTTTGTTGAGTATATTTTACTTTTCTCATATAGAAGTGACGAATTCGGTGAATTTGATAATGCTTATGAATGACTGTAGGAGTCTTTCGTTGAGTCTTGGATAATGTCAGATCTATGAAGTCCTGCAAATAAAGAACAAAAAGCAACTGATACAAATGGAGAAGCTGTAGCTACTATTTTCAAAAGGACCAAAAAAATCCAGAGGAGAAATGTGTGTCAATACTGCCACAAGAGAAGCAGTCCCTGAGATAGAAAATGCATGCTACTGAACCATTACAATAGCTATTCAAGATAATAAACACGAGTCTACTATACATCTTTGGACAATAATTTCTACCCCTGATTGAAGGAATAATATAATATTCAATAATTATTTAGAACACCAAAGTTCAAAGGCATCAATGCCCTTCCAATCCTGCCTCTACTGGTACTGAATTTCTATTGTTTGGCTCGCTTTCTTTGCCCTTCTCCAGAAAACGTCTGTTTTTCTTTTCTTTTTTTCCCCTCCTGCTCCCCGCCCCCCGCCTTTCCTACAATGCTTCTCCCACCTGCTTCTGCTATAGGTGTGCTGCCCCAGGGGCTGGGGCTGATTCTCCGTCCAGGAGGAGGAAGGGGATGGGGAAAGAGATGCGCCAGCCTGCAGTCCCACCATCAGAACCAGTCCAGATGCGGTGACAGGATTACGAGGGTGGTGGAGGCGATCGGATTAGGAGGAGGCTGAATTCAACAGGCGGGTCTATCGCCGCAATAAAGCTGTATTTGCCTTGGATTAGAACGCGGGAGGTCCTAAACATTTACAACAGAGGCTCCGCAGGCAGACGTTCAACAGGCAGAGCCTTCCAAGGCTGAACCCGTCGAATTCCTCCCAGAAGCTGAGCAGCTCCGGCCTTTTCCTGCGACACGTGGGCTGCCCAGGCCCCAGCCAGCCAAGCCCAGCGGCTCGCGTGCGCCTCCACGGAAGAGGGAGCCGACAGGGCGGCTCCGGCCTTACCTTCGCGGACGGGACCACCATGATCTTTCTGAAGTTGTAGAGCGCCATGGCGGCCGCGCGGTCCCCGGTGCTCCTCCGGGCTCGAAAAGGTAGAGCGGCGCGGAGCAACGGGACTTCCGGGAAAGCCGTTCTCGCGAGAGCAGCAAACCGGAAGAGGCTCGGCGTTCCATCGACTTCCTCTCGATCCCCATGGCAAAGGGTCACATAGGAGCGAAATTGACAAGGCTGTCCAATGTAAAAAGTCTGCAAAGATGCCAATATGGAGATGGAGGGAGAGGTGGAGAACACCCATGGCATCATTGCAAAGGAATACACAACCTACATCTTCCATGATCACGGAAAGCTGTGTCTGGAGAGGCAGAACGGCGATGCTCTATCTGTAGTATATCTATACCTCCATCCTTGGTTTTCGACGGAAAGGATTGTGCGCCGCTAAGTGGGTGGGTGTAGAACTGTAGCTTCTTTCCGCTCCATAACATTCGGCCAAGGAGTTCAACAATCAACTTCATCGTGGACTGAT